GGTGCCCAGGGCTGACCTCTTGGGATCGGTCGGGCCGGGCCCAGGGGCGGCTAATTGGATGTGCCTCGGGGCACGGCAGGCGTGGCGCTTGCCAGCTTAGATCAAAGGCCTTGTGCGTGCACCTCCTGCGTGCTCAAAATAGAGAAGGTGAATGGAGATCGTGTGCTGGCCGGCATCGACACACACGCAAGCACCTGCGCGCACACACAGTCTGACAAACACTTGCGTCTAGACACACATAAACATGCACTTGCACACACACACTTCACACATTTACGCACACATTCACACACACCTACACACACACACATCCAACCATCCCCAGATGCTGGAGGACGGGGACCTGCTGCACATCGACGCGGGCGGCCGCGCCTGCGTCTTCAACCAGCTCTCCGCCACCGCCAACACCCTGGCGCGCTCCAGCCTGGCTGACTTTGAGGTCAAGCGCGTGGGCCGCAAGATCGAGGCGGAGATCGAGTCGGTCATGAAGGTGCGCCTGAGTGCGCACTGCGCGCGCGCGTGCGTGTGCGTGTGTGTGTGTGTGTGTGTGTGTGTGTGTTCGTGTGTGTGACGCTGGTCGCACGCGGGCCTGTACAGGGAGTGACCTGAATACGCACGCACGTGCGCGTGTGTGTGTACGTGTGCATGCATACGCGGGCGTGCGTGTGGGTGCTGTGCTCAAGTGGACTGTGTGGTAAGAAAGGACGCCAGATTGGCATCGGAGGAGCACAGAAAAAACCACAGAGCATCCTCAACACTATGTGGGCATTGCGGGCCAGCGCATCAGGCCCACTACCGCAACGTATCGTCCCCTAGGAGTGAATGTGGCCCCCTTGCTTTGTGCAACTTCCCCAGGGCGGTTACGACCACTACATGCAGAAGGAGATCCACGAGCAGCCCAAGTCCCTGACAGACACCATGAGGGGCCGCCTCGTCATCGTGAGCGCGCGCGTGTGCATGCATGCGTCCACGTCGTTGCATGAGTGCGCATGCATCCGCGTGTCTGTTCTGTGGGCGATCGTGCGACAACGTTTGTGGGTGGCCTGGTGAGTGGATAGTGACAGCTGCAATATGAGTAATGTTGCACGTCAAGCACACATGCACTTACACACATCTACACACACTCACAAACACACAACACCGTCTTGCGCTCACACACACTTACACACACACACGCACACACACACACACACCTATGCACACACACCACCACCACCATCCCCTCAGAACAAGCCCTTGAAGCCCGTGGTGTCCAGCGCCGCCGACATCATCTTCAGCGGGAACTTCATCACCCCCTCCTCCGCCAGCAACATCCTCTACCCCGCCGACGACGACATCCTGGGCGGCGCGCAGGGCGGCTTCGACCTCCCCCGCCGCGCCGGCGGCCGCCCCGCGCCCGGCGCCAAGGACGCGTCTCCGGCCGGCGCGCTGTTCAGCGGCGCGCTGCTCGGCGCGGGGCAGGCGCTGACGCCGGCGTCGCCCAAGGGGTCGGAGGGGGCCCCGGGATACCTGGAGGAGGGCATCCCCGCGGCCGGGGCCAGCGAGCCGTTCATCCGGCTGGGGGGGCTGTCCGACCACGTGGAGGGCATCCTGCGCTGCCGCCGCATCGTGTTCATCGCGTGCGGCACGAGCTACCACGCGTGCCTCGCGGCGCGCAAAACGCTGGAGGAGTTTGCGGCGATGCCCGTGGTTGTTGAGCTGGCGGGCGACTTCATGGTGAGAACTTTTTTCTGCGCTGCACCTTTGGGTGGTGGTTCATGACTTATTGGCTATTGTGGTGATGATTTTCAGGGACTTTGCGGGTGCAAACAGTTTTTCTGCAACTGTGGGTTCATGTGCAAAGCGTTGGCCGTGGTGGTTACGCGGGTGAGAACTTCTCGGTGGGAGTCTCTTGCCGCTCCTTGGGGTATTGACCCGAGCGATGACCATAATCTTGAAGGGGGTGGCGGGATCCTTCACTTGATGGGGTGTGAGGTTTGCAGCAGGCCGTCGCTGGGCTGGCGGCCGGCCAATTGCTCGGACGCCTGGGGCCGGCACGGGCGTGTTTTTGCGTGCGTGCGTGGCGTCCGCTGCTCCTCCGTGCCTGCGGCGATGCCCAGCCCCGGCGCTCTCAGTATCGCGCTGCTCTTTTGCACACTGCTTCTCCCCGCAGCTTTCTATTGACCCACCCACACCCCCTTTTCAACCGCCTAAAAGAAAAACTGGCACTCCTTGCTGACCTCATGTGTCTGCAGGACCGCGAGGCCCCACGCCCCTCAAACCTGCCTCACACCCCCCTCCTTCCGGTGCCCTCACGCCCCTCACC